GCCCTTACTGTTTTTATTTTTTAAACTCAATGCAAAAATTTGCTAAAGGATGCTTTTGCCAAATTCTCTCCCTGCATTATTTATTGGATGCTTGAAAATGGAGAAACTAAGTCAACTTTGGAGGAAGTTTTTACATTGGATATTATGCTCATTACAAATGCTAATCATTGTTATGCCCACAGTATCTGGCTGATGGTAAGGTACCAGGAAGATTATCTACACCTTGTAACGAGCTTAGTTTTCTTTCGATACGCATAAATTTCAACCATTTTGATGAGTGTCTGGCAGCACTTTGCCTTCTCAGAAGTTCCCCTAACCTACAAGAGCTCGAGCTGTTGGTGAGTTTCAGATATCACTTGAACTTCATTAGGACCAATCTTAAACTGGCATCACCACGCTTGACTGCATTGATATATTCATATAACTCATACCTATTTTGCAGCTGTTGTATATTTCTCACAGTCTATGTTGAACTGTGCCTTTAAAGTTTCATGCATTCATGTCGTTGTCGTTATGCAGGCACGTACAGAAGATCAATTTGATCTGAGAACAGTGGCCAATGTTATGGAAGAGAACTATCAGAATTGTATGTTTAATCAACTGCGGCATGTTAAAATTGCTGGTATTTCTGGCGTAAAACGAGAGCTGAATTTCATCAATTTTCTGCTTGCAAATTCACCTATTCTTGAAAGGATGACAGTTAAGCCCGCTTCAGTTGATGGTGCATGGGAGATGTTAAAAGAGTTGCTTCGGTTCAGGAGAGCTTCAGTACAAGCTGAAATTGTTTACCTTGATCCTTAATCAGTGGCATGTAAAAGCTAGAGAGCTTAAGGCCTAGTAAGATCTATGGGTTTCAAGTATGAACTTGGCTATATTAGTTTAGCATATAATGTAGAAACTGCGCTAGGTTGTCTAATGACGCAGATGTTAAGATGAAAGCACCAACATGATTGGCCTAGGTATTGGAAACAGAAAGATGTTTCATATTCTGTTACTGAAAACTCGTTATCTCGTTTGGTCAGTATGTGAAGTGTTCAAAATTTCTGAACAATACAAGTTGTTGCATATTTGTACTAGTCCCATAGATGGGGAAGATGGTTCAGAGGACGACGGAGCCCTCTTGTTCTTTGCTGATGCTAAACCCCCATATGAATAGGTTGCTACAGTCACGATACTCACGAATTCACGATACAAACCAATGAATATATAATAACTTTATCACACGTGAAAATGTTATCGTCCCATTACTATTTATCATGTCATTAAGCTTATAAAGTTTTGTCCAAATTGTATAGAGTATATCTTTTTATTTCAGTACCTTCGTCTCATTCCTCTACTTCGAAATTTTATTTTTCATATTTAAGGGGATAAACAGTTTCAACACCTTTTTCTCTTCTTCTTCCTTTTAGCCTCCAAGAGGATGGGCATTTCACTTGCCCCTAAACATTCCTTTGGTCATTATACCTCACATAAAATCATATAATGTTTAACTGATCGCATAAGAAATATAAAAATATTTTTTTTGGATAGTTAATAATCATCTTAAAGCTATTGCGACAACATAAGAAATACTAATAGTCACCGCAAAGCATATTAATATATGTATAACTTATGTGAGAATTTATATTTTATTTTATAAGCAATAAAAAGTAGTAGAATAAATCTCTAGTGCTTTCCCCTTCACGGTGCAATAAAGTAATCAAACTAGTTATCAGGATATCAAATAGTAGTAATTATTATTCTAAAGAAAAAAAAAATTCTCAGTCTCCTTTGGGTATTGCCGTATTGGGATAAGGGATCGGGGACTAAACAGTCCGTTCAACCAAACAGGCCCTTACCCATCTGCTTTACATTATCCGCTGCTCTTGCTGCCCTTCAAAATTCCACCCTTCACTCTCCGAGAAGAAATCGAAAATGGCGATTTCTCTCACTTCTCTCACCTCATCCTTTGCTTCTCTCTCCTTCTCCTCACAAATTTCTCAAAAACCCTATGCCATATCTCTCGCACATTCAAAGCCATTCCCTTTATCTCTCACTTCCAAAATCCCTACACTCGTAGTATCAGCTTCCGTCGCCGAAGCACCAGCGGCGCCGGAGTTAGAAACGCGAGAGGAACTTCTGAAGCTTGTGAAAAGTAGACTTCCCGGCGGTTTTGCTGCACAGCCTATTTTCGGAACTGGTAGACGTAAAAGCGCCAGTGCTCGTGTTGTCCTTCAGGAAGGTTCTGGAAAAATCATCATCAATTATCGTGATGCCAAGGTCCGCTTCGTTCTCCTTTCTCAGTTGCATTTAACGATATGCTTTGCTTTATAGAAATTGTATTTCTTAAATTTATTATAGCGGTAAAATAGAATTGCCTTTTTAAAGTTTCAGTGGAGATCTGTGTATGCTGAATTAGTGTGAGATTTAGAGAACCTAATGTGCCTTGATTGAGAAATTGCTTAGTGTTCGATGAAATGGACCAATTAGAGCAGAGTGCTTCAACTAGTTCGCAATATATATATATGTAGAAGACATACACACAAGCACTAATGTGGCTAAGTTAACATTTTTTTTTACTTTTGGATGAAATGAACCGAAGCTGAATGATTACAGAAGATTCATGTAGCCGACATATATAAAATTATCTGTCATTGGAACAATTTGTTGCAGATGATAATTTGGAAAAAATTTCGCTTCTCAAGCAACTGCATTAGGTAGTATGTTGCTCAGTTTCATAAAATTAGCAGGTAGCCCATTGGTATATCATGGTTTGACCATGATTCTCACGTGTCTTATTTAAAAGTTGCTGTTTGCTAAATTGGTCACTTAAAATGGATGTAGGTAGCAGGGTTTAGGAAGACAAGTGGTGCTTCATAATGTTCTATGTGAAGAAATTTATAATGGAAGGACACCTCTCTTAGAGTGTATAGAGATTGTAAAGTGGGATTTGACTTGGAAAAGTAATGATAGCAAAGTTGCAGAGGAAGCATAATTGATAACTTTGAGTTTCTGAGAAATGCATGCGTAAACTAGTTCTCTGAATCATCGGTGCATATAAGTTATAACAGAAGCATAAGAACAAAACTTTTCCGTTTCAAATTACATGACTAAAAGCATGGCAGAAGTTGAATAATTAGATAAGCAGGACGTGCTAAGTTAATATAAGGATGAAGTTGCGGTTAGCAGACTCGAAAACCCTTAACTTGGGATCAAAAGGTGTGTGAAATTTGTACTTCTATAGTGTTGCTATGGGAACTCTCGGCTTTTTGGGAGTGTAATTGTAACAAGCAATGCTGTAACTTTTTCTTTTTGAAGTACCTCCTTGGTACTTTGTTAATGAAATTTATCTTATCTTATCAAAAAGTAAATGTTGCTATGGAAGTGCATCTAGATTATTGAGTTCTCTGTCATATACTCGGTGTCCAATGAGGCAAGTCATTAACATTGCCTGCTTCTTTTTGTATGTAATGTACTGCTATCTTTTTCTTCATTTTTTGTTGCTTTGATTCTATGAGACTAACACTTGTCATGAATCGCAGGAATATCTTCAAGGAAATCCATTGTGGATTCAATATGTTAAAACTCCTCTGGCCACTTTAGGATATGAGGCTAGCTATGATATTTTTGTCAAGGTAGAAGGCGGTGGTCTTTCTGGGCAGGCTCAAGCAATCTCCCTTGGCATTGCTCGTGCACTCCTAAAGGTCAGTGAGAGTCATAGAAAACCATTGAGGGAAGAGGGCCTACTAACTAGAGATGCCAGAGTTGTGGAGCGGAAGAAAGTTGGTCTCAAGAAGGCTCGCAAGCGTCCACAATTTTCCAAGCGTTGAGGTTATACTCCAAATAAAATTTCAGTTCGAAAACCTGTGCGCTTTTCCACTGAAGCACATAGGTGCAAGAGCTTCTAATGGAATTTACTCACGTTTTCTTTGCTATCCCTTTCTAGGTTGGGAACTTCTTATTTGCCCTTGTTGCATTTGGTAGAAAGGTATGGAAATCATCATAGACCATTGCTTTATTAATACGTAACGGATTGATCATTATGAAATTCACAGCCATATTATGGATTCCTCAATGCACTTTTTTTCCCTTTTGCGAATAAAAGAATGGTGTAAACTATGATTTGTGTTTGTAATTCTTTCTACTTTTGGTTTTCAGGTTAGGTGGTTTTATTAACGCAGATTGGGGAAATGCCATATCAATGATCTGGTTCGACAGTTGAAGATTGGAAATGTTTCCGACCCATTACTCAAATGCTTCTTGTAAATTTTGTATCAGTCTTGACTCAGAATTACAATTGAATCTGTTGAAGTTGTTATTGAGTTTGTAAGTCTAGATTTATATTGTAAACATTCACCGAGACAGTTTAATATAATTTGAAGATTTTGTTACCTGTTAATTTTTAAAGCCTGGAATGAAATGGGTCCAGACTCCAGATGGAGCCAAATGAATAGCGAGAAATGTCGACTATTAACAGCTATTGGATTGAGATGTGATTGTAAATTAAGGCAACTTTTTGTGTTGGTTACACAAAATATAAACAAGCTAAGCTATCTTCAAATTATAAATGAGAAACATGTTAGGGCGGTGAGAAAAAAAAATGCATGAATCTGAAAGACGATTTCGCAAAACCTCCATAATAATAATAATTGATTACATCAAATGAATGAATTTAAAACAGTTGTCTCTTATAAAATATAAATACATTTATCACTAATACTATAATTTGTAACCGCTTAACCAAATTTTCTCCACATTATTCACAATATCTTCATTTCAAAACACTTTTTTTTCAATCACTAAAAATTAAATTAATAATTGCAAGTAATAGACTGAGGCAAAATTAGTTGTTCAGTATATGGTTTAGCGCCTTTTCTTCTACCTTCTTCTCTTCTACACTATTTACGGTCCACCTTCACTCTAATTAATTTTTTAAAAGAAAATATATGGTTAACCAATGAGCAAGGAGTGCCAGTGAACAAAGAACCTATATAAAGGCCAAGAATATCACAGCAATCAAAAATCACTCTGCTTTTCTTTCAAAATTCCTAGGAAACAACAAATCAACAACCTTAGTAACATCAAAAAGTACACAGACAAAAAAGAAGACAAAGATTGTCTCTAATTGGAGGGGTTATTTGCTTCCCCTCCAAAATTCGTCACCAATATTTTGCATTGGTGACGAATTAAAAAGAAGCAAATTTCCCTTCTAAGCCCAATTTACCATTTTTTTGCCATATTTTTCATTTTTGATTTCCCCATAAATTATTGCAATGGAGGATTCTATGTATGGCAGTAGTGACGAGGAATACTATAATGGAGCGTACGATGATGATGACAACGACAATGAATATGATCGTGACCCTGAACCTGAATATGATAGTGACGTGTCCAGTGGCAAAGCTCCTTCTTGCAGGGTATAGTATAAATTTTCCCAGAAATCATTTTCTTCTGCCTTTTTCCTCTTGTGATTTCCTCCCCCCCCCCTCCGCCCTTAAACTTATGGTAAAAAATATAATGCTGTGTTAAATTTGACTATCAAGTCAAGTTCTTGAATTCTGCTTACAAGGCTGGTTTTTCCTTGATTAAGTTGTATTATAGGTTTGCACTATTTAGTGAGCCTTTTTAATTATGTTTAAAAAATTTTGTGTCACTAGAAAATGGAGAAAACTTCTAATGTTAGAGAACTTATAATTAATTACTCCCTCCGTCTTAATTTATGTGACACTTTGCTTTTCTAGATTCAAATTATGTGAATTTTGACCATCATTTTAAAATATATATTTTTCATCATATCGACCTGAGAGGAATTGCAACGTATAGTACTAATCGTATAGTTTCTTAATACCTAAACTTTAGTTTTAGAATATTGAGTTGATCTAATTCAATTTAGCTTTAAAGATTAGTAAAATTTACTCTTGAGAAGCAAGAAGTGTCACATAAATGGGGACGGAGGGAGTATTTAAATGAAACACGTCCAGATGGAGCAGGTTGCATATTAAAGATTCAGCTGGTGCCATAAAGTTTGGATTGTTGATGTTGCGGTTGTTTTTTGCTCGGGTTGAGTGATTACGAACTAGCCTGTTTTAGTTTGATAAGGATAGGGTTTTGCTTGAGGATATATTTTGACTTCTTGTAAAATGGCATTAATTTCCTCTTAACTCATTTATAGAAAGCAGAATGGCCCTTCAATTATGTGACCTTTGGTATTTGATATGCTGATAGTTGTGTGATGTCTCGTGTCTTTTTAAATGTGAGAATTAGTCCTTCTTTTTGGCTTTTGCAGGTAATCAGGAAAGAGTCCCTTTTAGCAGCACAGGTTAGCACATCTTTGTCCGAAAATTTCCTTTTTTCAATCTGTTACTAATGTCAGAGATGTGAAGCATTTCTATATATTTGCAGAAAGAAGATTTGCAGAGAGTGGTGGACTTGCTTTCTCTTAAGGAACATCATGCGCGGACGTTGCTTATTCATTATCAATGGGATGTTGATAAGGTATTTGCAGTATTTGTTGAAAGAGGGAAAGAAAAATTGTACGCAGAAGCTGGTGTATCACTTGAAGAAAAAGATGATCAGCATCCTGCCTCTGAGCCCTCAACTGAAATAACATGTGAAATCTGCTTTGATGATTTCCCTGCTGAGGAAACGACGATGATGGATTGCAATCATAGGTTTTGCAATGATTGTAAGCATCTTTCATCATTCCCCCTAATCTCTCGTTCTGTATTTGCTTTTTTCTGAATCACATGTCCGCTTATTGATCAGCATACAACAATGCTGTTAACTTCCTTTATAGGTTATTGTCCAGCCATTTTACATTTCTGTTGTCATGTGTGAGCCTTATGATCCTTCTCATTTTACTGCATCATTAAGTAATGGCATCAACCATATGTAGAGGCCATTTCCTTACTTGGTCATGCTTAAGGTTTCTGCATTTTTAGTCTTGTATGATAGTGATATTTCTTGTCGTCTAAAATTAGACAACAAGATTTGTTTGATTGAGCTACTTGTTGCTCTCAGTCTATGGATTTGTAACTCCTATTTATGAATGGTGTAGCCTAAAGGTTGGTTTTTTTCATTTTCTTGTGTAGGTTGGACGGAGTATTTCATCGTAAAGATAAATGATGGGAAGAGTAGACGCATAACATGCATGACTCAAAAGTGCAAAGCAATCTGCGATGAAGGAAAGATTAGGGATCTAGTCACTGCAAAGGATCCTAATTTGGCGGAGAAGTTTGATCGTTTTATCCTAGAATCATATATTGAGGATAATAAGAGGGTTAAATGGTGCCCTAGTGTTCCTCATTGTGGAAATGCAATTCGTGTTGAGGATGACGAGTACTGTGAAGTTGAATGTGCATGTGGTAAACAATTCTGTTTTAATTGCTTGTGTGAACTGCACTCACCCTGTTCATGTGTGATGTGGGACCTTTGGCTTAAGAAGTGCGACGATGAAGCACCAACCGTCACTTGGATGTCAGAGAAAACCAAGCACTGCCCAAAATGTCATAAAATTGTGGAAAAGGATGGTGGATGCAACCTTGTACAGTGTATATGTGGTCAGCCATTTTGGTAAGACAAATATAGTAGATCAATTAAAGGGGAGCCTTGGCGTAACTGGTAAAGTTGCTGCCATGTGACCAGGACGTCATGGGTTCGAGCTGTGGAATCAGCCTCTTGCAGAAATGCAGGGTAAGGCTGCGAACAATAGACCCTTGTGGTCCGGCCCTTCCCCGGGCCCCTCGCATAGCGGAAGCTTAGTGCACCGGGCTGCCCTTTAAATATAGTAGATCAATTCCTCTTATTTGATGCTTATGATCATATTAACATTTCTGCAAATGTTCTTTTTTAGTTGGCTCTGTGGTGAAGCTACTGGACTAGAACATTCATGGACTAGTATACAAGGTCACACTTGTGGCAGATACAAAGAAAGCCATTTGAAAAGTGCAGATACCGTAGAGGACTATTGGCGCCTTACTCACTATTATCGTCGCTATAAGGCTCATATTGATTCATTGAAGATTGAAGCATCTGAATCAAAGCCAAAAATACTTGATAAAGTCCGTAGCCTTGAAGCAAAGGAATTGCAGTTAAAAGATTTCAGCTGGGCAATGAGTGGATTTGATAGACTCTCCCTATCAAGGCGAGCTGTCGCATGTTCCTATCCATTTGCATACTACTATTTTGGTGATCTGTTCGCGAATGAAATCACAAAAGAGGAAAGGGAAATAAAGCAAAACCTTTTTGAGGATCAGCAGCAGCAACTTGAAACAAATATTGAAAGACTTTCAATGTTTTTAGAAGAGCCATTTGCAAATTATCCTGAAGATAAGCTTATGGAGACAAGAATGAAGATCATTACTCTCTCCACAGTAACCGATGATCTCTGCAAAAAGTTGTGAGTGTACACTAATACATCTAATTTGTCAAATGCCGTGTAGATATTTGCAGCAGCATCAGGTATATCGTATTTTTAAGTACTGAAGCTGATTCCTCAATTGACTTTTTTCAGGTATGAGTGCGTTGACAACGATTTGCTGGTTCCTCTACAGCAAGCAACTCATACGATAGCTCGTTATAGATCCAAGGGTGTGGAGAAAGCATCAGAACTTCCTAATTGACATTCTACGGCTTACTATACGTGCAGATATATATATACTCTTAAATGTATATTTAGCTATAGAGAGCGCTCTGAAAGTCTTATTTTTGTGAGAAATGTTCCGGTTGAAGGCTTCCAACATCAACGTGCTGTAGTTGCTAAGAAGAGGTCCAGGATCCTGTCTTTTGTTCGTAGTATAATGTACATTAACATGTCACAGGGCAAGCAATTGTATTTTTGAATAGCTAGTAGTTAGTGTATCCGAGCATATTTTTTTTGTGTGTTTAGAGGGCCAATGATTTGCTATTGCAAGATCCACTTTGTAAAATGGTTGCTGATTACCTATTTATAACTTAGCCAGTACATTTTGAATTGCAGTTTTCAGTTCAAATTTTCGGGACAAAAAGCTATCTGTGCACTTGCCCATGTTGCTGCCATTTGCGGGAAAACATTTGGATTAATTATGAGTCACAGCCATAATAAATATAAATCGTTTAATTATTTTCTTTGCAGTGGTGGAGCCAGGATTTTCATCAAGGGGGGTCAATATATATATATATATATATATATATATATATATATATATATATACACTGTAATTTTTCGACAAAGGGGTGTCGGTGTGCATATTGGCTCCGCCACTGTTTCTACGAGTTTAAATATATTAAGAATGATGTAGTTACAGAGACTTTACCTTGAGTTTGATACATTGTTTTAGTTTTAGAGTAAGAGGTAATCCTTGAGTTAACAATTTGCTTAAACTTAAGCATCTTCGTCCAAAAAATTATTATTGCCAATTGCGGGAAAATTACTTTAGCCTAATTACGGAGTCAGTCTTTCAACCTATGCCTAGGGGTGTACAAACCGAACCGAAAACCGCACCAAACCGAAAAGTCAAACCAAACCGATTAAAAAACCCGACTCGGTTTGGTTTGATTTGGTTTGGTATTGAATAAAAAAACCCGAACCAACCCGACATATAAATATATAATTTTTATATATATTATTTAAGATTTTATATAAAATTTTCTTTAAAAAATATCTAGAAATATTTGGAATTCTCTTGCGGGATATAAATTTTAATAGAATATGAAGTGCTCAATATTTATTGACCTTAAATAATGGGTTGTATGATCAGTTTCTTATCAAGTGTTACTAAAATACGTCTATCTCTTTGTTCTACATATTCATATCATATGAATTCTTATTTTTTTCGAATGTGAAGTGGTTATTAATATTTAGGTATCATATTGGTTTTTTATATTTAATTACTAAATTCGGATAACCTGAAAGTGTATATCAACGAAAAATTCAGACAACTAAAAAAATAATTATTAGTATGTGTTAACTAATGGAATTCTCGCATAAGAATATTTTAATTGATAATATGTTTGTCAACTTTTTATATTTTTACTAAATAGATGTATACATATCAAATATTTAACAAAGTAAGATTGAAATAATATGTAAGTAACAAAAAACCCGAAAACCCGACAAAACCCGACAAAACCGAACCAATCCAAACCGATATAGTTGGTTTGGTTTGGTTTCGATAAAAATCGAACAAACCCGGTCCATGTACACCCCTACCTATGCCAATTCATTTAAGGATTCGCATAGCCGGTACCATCTTCGAACAAATAAAGGAGGCTGTGGTTATAGTTGAGAACATCTTAAATCCTTTAAACATTGAAAATGAAATTGATTTTCATTAGCAGAATAGTTATAATGAATTCATATATAATTGATCCATATCCTCTCTCTAGTTTTATGCGATTAAAAGTTTTGAAGGATATTGAGTCGTTTGTATTTATGCATTATTGCCTCACAGTTTTATGCCAGTGTGTAGTCAACTGGGCATATTACTTGAATTCGTTTTAGCTTGCTATTCTTGTATCGAGCATTGTGAAAAACGAAAGGAAACAACACTTCATATACACTCTCTTAACACGTTAATCTTTACTTAAGGTCAGATTATGTTTCAAATATTTTGTCCGTTGCAGCAAATTCTATTTTTGAGATTTAACTTCATTATGGTCATATTATTTCTTACAAAAGTTTGAAGATAAAGCAAGATAATGTATTGTAGGAATTGGGCTGAAGACCTAACTAAGCCCAGGTAGGTATCGAAATATTTAACTTGATTTGGAGGGGTACGCCGGGCCTTGGCTGTAGTGTAGGGGTGTACATGGACCGGATTGGTTCGGTTTCTATCAAAAACCAAACCTAACCAATTATATCGGTTTGGATTGATTCGATTTTGTCGGGTTTTCGAATTTTTTGTTACATGAATATTATTTCAATCTTACGTTATTAAAATTATAGATAAGTGAATATATGTTTAGTAAATATAAAAAAAATTATAGATAAAGCTTTGATTTAGTAAATATGAAAAAATGGACAAACATATAATTTATTAAAATATTCTAATGGGAGAAAATTTTTAATAACACATGATAGTTATTTTTTTAGTCGTCTAACAATAATTTTTTGTTAATTTACGCTTTCAAGATTAATACATAAAAGGATCCCAAATATTTTTGGATTTTCTAAAAAAAAATCACTACAAAGTCTTAAAAATATAAATAAAATTAAACTTTTTTACTCAATACCAAACCAAATCGATTTGAACACCCTAGGCGACGCACGAACCAAATCGATTTGAACACCCTAGGCGACGCACGAAGACCCAAATAACAAGATACCTTGATGGACTTTCCCCCTTAAAAAATTAAGTTAATATCATGTGGGCCAATGGCCCACATAGTAAATATTAAACTGATAAGAACAAATATTACACTTGATCTTAGCCAAAAGGCCGAGAAAGGTATGCTTTGAAACGCAAACGGGCTTCGCTTTTTATAGCTCCTCTCAGCTGTCGAGTTATTTGCTTCTTTCGGTGTGGGACTGCAATAGTTCCTACAAGAAAGATAACAAAGGCAGAGTAGCTTGTTTAATTGACGATACAAAGTGTAGCATATATTTATGCACCAACACTAGTTTTTAAGAACAAACACAGTTCAAATAAATATCTAATTTTTAATGAGATTTCAGACAGTAGTTCTTCAATATTCTCTAAAACGTCTTCTCAAATGACAAGGAGTATTCAAGAGTAAGAAAAGTGTCATATTGGAAATGACTATTATGCTTCAGACTTCTGAGTACTAAAAAAAGAACTTTTTCTAACATGTAGTCGAAAAATAGCAGACCCCTATTGTTGTTTATTCGAAAAGCACCAGAGTCACGATCAAAGGACATTTTAATGAATTGCATGTAATGAAGGTCCTTAATAATTAGTAAGTCACTTTAAGTGAATAGAATTAGGTTTTCTAACTCCTTGAGTCATTAAACTTAGAACTTATGCATATATGTAAAATCATCTATATTCTCATATAAAATTCAAAAAGTTGCTTAAAGAGTTGGTGGATATATAAGAATTTTATAAACTCTCCGTTTTTGTATATGTGATACTGTTTTCTTATTAGTTCGTCTCGAAAAGAATAATTTCAGAAATAATTAACTTTACAATGTTCACTTCACGCTTAATAATACAACAACAACAACAAACCAGTATAATTTCACGAGTGAGGTCTAAGGAGGATAGTGTGTACGCAGATGTTACCTCTACCTTGAGGGTAAATAGGTTATTTCCCATAGACACTTGGTTCAAGGAAAGAAAAGAAAGCAATACAAACAACAAGATAATAAGAAACAAGCAGTAACCATAACATGATAATAAACAAGCATTGCCAACAACAATATAATAAGAAAACATGTAGTAATCAAGGCTGACTAACTACTACTACCGGTATGGGGAAGACGCACATCCGACTACCTACTAACCCTCTAACATAATCTTCGACCTCCATACCTTCCTATCAAGGGTCATGTCCTCAATAAGCTGAAGCAACACCAAGTCCTGCCTAATAACCTCTCCCGAGTACTTCTTTGGCCTACCTCTATCCCTCTTCCGACGATCCAGGACAACCTCTCACACCTCCTCACTGGAGCATATGTGCTTCTTCTCTTCACATGCCCAAACCACCTAAGCCTCACTTCTTGATGTTTGGCTAAAAATCCATATTTTTGCGTGTAATTTACCTTGCAGTATACCTCGATTTTGTTAATTTATGTGTGAATATTTGTGACTTGAGCTTGATAATGTTATTTATATGTGTAGGAGTCAATTGGAAGTGATTTGAAAAGTTTTCATGCAAAGTGAAGTAAAACAAGGAAGAATCTGGAGAAAGTATAAGTTTGGTGCCCAGGTCCCGAACAGCAAAGCAAGGGTCACTTCGCGAGACCGGACCGAAGCAGAAGACACTAGAAAGTCCCGGACAGCGAAGCGAGGGTCACTTCTCGAGATCGGGGCGAAGCAGAAAATTTTAGCTTTTCCTATCCGAATTAGGAGAAGCCCAATTCGCCCCAACAAACCCTAGCCTCTATAAATACATCAAGAAAACGTGCTTTTAAGGGGAGGAGGCCGCTTTGAAGAGAAAATACACACGGGAAACATTCGGGAGCAAAGATATCTGAGATTCTTCATCTTTTCTTAGTATTTTCAATTATCTAACACTTATGAATTTGTTTGATACTATCATGAGTGGCTAAAACCCATAGTCCTTGGGTTGTGATTTAGCCATGAATATTGTTGTTTAACGTTGACTTAACCTTGATTATAGTTCACCAATATATAGTTGTTTCTTCAATTCTGTGATTAATTGCTTGATTATCTGGCCAGCAGTTAGCTTCTATTTACTATCTATGCTATGCTTGGGAAAGCCATGTTTAGATTAAAGAAGAATTGAAGAGAGCTCGATCTTAACTCTGAATGGGGGGAGGGATTTGTGGTTAGGATAGGAATATACCCAGTCACTGTGCTTAATTAAATATCGTAATCTTAATGCGTTCTTAATAGATTGATTTCATAGGAATATAGGCGTTAATCTATTTTGAATAGGCGAGTAGTACTTCGGAAGAAGGCTATGAGAGCAATTGTTCGATTAATTAGCAACCATGAGTGAATTGTATGAAAGGGAGAGTTAACTAGAACACAATAGGATTGGTGAATCAGTCAAAACCCTGGAATATCGTCACTAAATACACAACAACCATTTTACTGCTTCATAATTTAGTTACTACTTAGAATTATTATTTAGTATAATCACATTCTTGAACTCGAATTTGGCTCGATTGAATAACAATCTTGGTGAATTTAGTGGGTAGTTGATACAAGTCTCTGTGGGTTCGACACTCGACTTATTACTTTATTACTTGTACGACCATGTATACTTGCGTGTGCGTTTGGGAGCAACACTTCTCGCAACTTATCCTCCATTGAGGCTACTCCTACCTTGTCCCGAATATCTTCATTACT